TTTTTAGAAAGAATACAGTTTCATAGCTTGCTTATTAGATTATGTTGATATCAAAAGTGGTTTTCATTTGATGAAATAATGCTTATAACATATATCTTTAACACTAAAATCAAATATTGCTTAAACCTTAAAAAAAAGGTCTGGAAAAATAAGATGCAAACATAATATTTTTATCAAAATAAGTATTATTACAGACACGTAATCAGAAACGTAACAGGCACTCTTTTTGACATATGCGAAATGAAGGAAACTGTTTTACAAACGCTTGGTATGTTTTTTGCCATATTAGATAACATTTTTAAAAGGGAAATGTTAAAAAACGGTTGTGCATCCATATGCGGTTATGCCCCCACTTTCCATACTTGCAATTAAGAAAAATTCCCAATAAACGATCAGAACAGATCATATTATTAAGGTAGTAGTGCCCCAAAAAAGAGGCTAGCCTCTTTTTCGGGGTACTATCATCTTTATATAATGATCTGTTCTGATCGTTTATTTTTAGTTCTGACCTTATTTTTTATCGTTTTTTTTTTGTTTGTTTATGATCGTTTTTTTTTTTTTTTTTTTTATAATTATAAGAATAGACATAATAAGTAAATAAAAATTAGACATAATAAATGAAAAGAACAGACATAAATAAAAAAATCTGATCGTTTATTTTTTGTTTTTGTGAGTTGTTTTTATTGATTTTTTTTTTATTATTATTATAAGAGTAGACATAATAAATGAATGAAAATTGTTAAAATTGAAGTGTTTTTTTTTTTCAAAATTTCAGTTTTAACAATTTTCATTCATTTATTGTCTACTCTTATAATAATAATAAAAAATTTAAAAAAAAACGATCAAAAGACTTAAAATTATCCATAATAAATTTGGTACTGGAAAATATATCGCCTCAGTAACGGCCCTTAGAGATATATTTCTTGCAATATCTTGAAAAATTTAAGCCTAATTTATATAATTTTTTGTGTGCTTATGACTAAATTATTCCTCAAGAACTCTTGTTGGTTTTCGATCTAATATTCATAAATTGAAACCTCACATTCGTTTTTGTAAAATATAGATAATTACTCTTTAATAAAATTTTCTTTGATTGATGGATAATTTACATTAGCTTTCTGATAAATGGGTTTAAAAAAAAGATATGCTAAAGCAAGAGTAAAGAAAGGAAATTTATAAATTAGAAAAAGATTCTCTAAATAATTCAAATGTTTTACAAAAAACTGTTTTTTCTACACATTCACCAAGCTAAATGTACCGGCATCTGGAACCCTAGGAAAAACTTGGTAAAAATTATGATAAATCATCAATGTTGCTGTTAGTTTAGATGGTTGGCATGGCAGCGCAGAGAATACTTCTCGATGAATCGTATAGTCAGAGCAATATTTCATGAAAAAATGTTGTTTTTTTTATGCTGAAAGAAAAAAGTTTTGATGCTGTTGTCCAGACAAAAAATTGTTACCTCTGCAAGATATGGTCGAGAAGAAAAGGTACTCCAGATTACAAAAACTGGAAAATCACACATAATTACAAGGTTTACCAATAAGATAGCTCAGGAAATATGGATCCTGTAGGCGCTCTAAAAATATTCAAGCGATCTATCAAGGAGCTTAAACTCAAGTACCTAACATACATCGGAGAAAAAGCTACCAAGTTTTATATGCAAGTTTTTTTTTTACAAATCCTCAGAAGAAATCATTGAGAAAAAGATCTTGGCATTGATGAATTGCTCGATGTTTACACTGCCAAATTCAAAATGTCAATGTATGGCTAAATGGTTTGGACTCGCGCACCCAAAAGAGTTCACGTGGAAAAAACAGTTGTTGAGATTGCTTTGGTCTCTGCAATAATTAGCTTTATTAATGGAGTTCAGGGTTTACTACCAGTGTTTAAAAAATTTAATGTTGTTCCTGAATATTTTACAACAAAAAGTTCTCTTAATATAGATTATGTATGCGTTTTATAGAATGAGATAAAAAGTACATGTGCTACAAAAAATAGGAGGAAAAAGCTAAGAGCTATCAAAAAAGGTTTTGTTGATCAACATAACGAAGCAGAAGGTGTTGCATTTTCTATTAAGTTAATATATATATATATATATATATATATATATATATATATATATTTTATATAACTTTGTTTTATATAAGTTATATATATATATATATATATATATATATATATATATATATATATATATATATATATATATATATATATATATATATATATATATATATATATATATATATATATATATATATATATATATATATAACTTAATAGAAAAAAAATTTAAAATTCGATACTTTATGGGAACATTTATGTTTTTCTGAAGTGTTAGAATAAACCATTTCAAAAAAAAAAATTCTTTTTTTTTTACCCCCTGCTTAATAATTATGCGCATAAATGAGGAAAATTTATGCAAAAAAAGAGACCTTTTTTTAACAAGAATATCTTGAGAACCTTACATGTTCTAGAAACCAAACTTTATAAACCA